TCGCCATTAGAACAGTAGGGTATAAACGAACTCATAACTTTTAAAGTTTAATTAAAATAGAAAAAAATTGAAGAATGTCTCAATAATAAAAGTTTAAATAAAAATTATATATATTTTTAAAATATGCTTCAAATGCTTTTAATGCAAGTGTAGCAATGCTTTTTTTTTGGGGAATTTTAGGGGCGTAGCCCATTTCATTGATTGTAAAAAAAATAAAAGTAAGAAAAAGAAAAATTACAGGTAACAAAAAGAACAGAAAAGCCCAATACAAAACGGGCAGATAAGAAAAAACTAGAATTTTGAACAAAAGGTGCCCAAAGGCACGGTGGACTCAGGCTAATCCAGAAGGATTAGAATGGTACCCTGGTTGCCCAGAGGCCATCCAAGGGGACCGAGCTACGTAAAGCATTCATCATCGTCCAATCCAAATAAAAAAACGAAGGGTCAGTGCAGCAGCTGAGTTACATCCGTGTGATCTTTCCAAAGCTTGATTTTGAGGTAGGTAGCTCTCTTAATCTTCCCCAGAATGGTGGATTTGCAATCAAAAATAGAACCAAAAATTCTATCATTTCTAGCTCTCCAGATGTGGTAGATGGTGGCATTAGTAGCAAGTTTATAAAAATTTGCCCAGCTAGCATTATAACCTTGTTCCGAAATACTATCAAAAACCTGGAATATGGTAGGCCTGAGCAAAAGGTTGCTAAGCCAAGGAAGCAAAGTTCTAATGATGTCAAAGGTGTAGCCACATTCAAAAAATAAGTGAGCATGCGTCTCAGGGAGAAAATTACAGAAGGGGCGCTGCATATGGACATTAATCCCCCGTCTTCCAAGAACATCAGAAGTTTTAAGGCAGCCCTTAATAGCTTGCCAAGCATACACAGAGAACCTGAGCGCAGACTTTTTGTGCCAGATAAAATTGAACCAGTTAACCCTTGAGAGCTCAGCAAAATAATGGGAATGGAAATTCTTAAATTTGGGGTTCGAACCGTTCAGCCAACAACAAATAGCATCCGTGCTAATGGAAGTGGTAGAAGAAATATGATCTCTTAGGCTGTTACAAAATGAGGGGGGAAAGTTCCAATTACCATTACAAATGACATGTCTAAGTTGCCAAGCCGAAAAAAGTGAAATGTAGATCGTAGGGTCAACATTCATCAATAACAGCAAGTCATAAATAGAGGCCCCCCCACACCATGGGTCCCAAATTAAGGAAAGCTTGCTATCGGGATGAACAGGTAAAGACAAACAGTTTTTGATATTCCCAACCATATTACAAATGAATTTCCAGTAGGGGGAAGCTTTCTTGCCATACGGTTTCCAAAGGGAAGAGTATTTCCCCCTCCACAAATCCAAAAGAATGCTATTAGAGGTCAGAAACCTCCAAATAAGAGAACAGGAGTAAGCAAAATAGTAAGATTCCAGGTTATGGATTCCCAAGCCACCGTTAACTTTGGGGTAACAGACCTCCTTCCAGCTAATGATGTGCAGTTTCTAGCCAATATTTAACTTTGGGTAAACAGTTCTCTTCAATACTGAATATTCAAGGCAGGTACTACTCTTTATAGCTCATATGGCCTTCAGCCAATATTTAATTTTCTTAAATATATAAATTTTAAAATATATATGCATCTAATCCAGTACGCGAACTCTCCCAGCCATAGAGAGAGTCTTAGCTTTCCACCCATCCAAAGCCTTGGAAATTTTAAGAATAAGAGGCTGAAAATCGGCTATACGCAATTTCCTGTAAAAAATAGGAATTCCCAGATATTTGATAGGAAGGCTGGATTTTTCAATTTGAAGAATATTACAAATCTCAGCATCTACACTACACCCTTTAGACAGTAAAATGGCACTCTTGCTGGGGTTCACAAAAAGACTAGAGGAGCAAGCAAATTGATGCAGGATATTCTTGAGGCTGATGGCATTAGGGATAGTGGCCTTGCCAAAGACTAAAAGATCATCAGCGTAGAGAAGGTGCGACACGGAGGAGTTCCCCAAGGTGATGCCAGAGAAAGTATGTCTATTGATAGCATCATCAAAAGCAGAAGAAAGAGCATCAATAACAATACAAAAAAGATAAGGGGATAAGGGGCACCCTTGTCGCAAACCAGAAGTAGAACCAAAGAACCCTTCGAGTGCCCCATTGATGCAAATCGAGAAATGAACCTCAGTAATGCAAGCCTTAATCCAGGCAATGAACTTAGCAGGGAATCCTTTAGCAGCCAAACGATCCAGGAGGAATTCCCTGGAAACAGTATCGAAAGCTTTGGTGATATCAAATTTAGCACAAAAATAATTGTCCATAGAATTTCTATTGAAATCTCCCAGAATTTCCGATGCGAGGAGAATGTTATCCGAGATAAGTCTCTTATGAATGAAACCACCTTGGCTGTTGTGTATAATGAAAGGCATAACTTCCTTCATCCTATTGGCAATGATCTTAGCTATAACTTTGTAGATAACATTGCAAAGAGAGATCGGTCTGTAGTCCCGGATACAAGTGGCATGGGGATGTTTGGGAATTAAGGCAATAGTCGTGGCCTTGGTTTGCTTGGGAAGAGAGGCCGTGATAAAAAAAGCATTAATAGCATGGTAAACTTGAGTGTTGATGATATGCCAAGTGGCCTTATAAAAGGCAAAGGAAAACCCATCAGGTCCAGGTGTAGAGCAGTTTGGTCCAGCAAAAATAACCTCCTTAATCTCCTCCATTGTAACAGGGGCAACTAAAGCATCAAGGAGGTGAGAGGGGACAGTGCCACCAGTTGGGAAATGAGTAGGAGAGTAAGTGATGGGAGTTTGGGTATTGAAAATATTTTGAAAATTCTTAATAAAGGCATTGGAAACCGCCGAGTGGGAGGTAAAATTACCATCATCAGTAGTAATCTCTTTGATTTTGTTATAGCTATGTATGATATTGATCTTGGAGTAAAGGAATTTCAGGTCATCTTCCCCGTACATCAGCCACTTAGCTTTTGCCCGTTGGATGGCCCAGCTAGCCATCGAGGATTTGCAGTTGGTAATTTTACAGTTAATATGGTGGAGGGCAGCAGCAATGTTAGGATCTTGGGGAGAAATATTCGCCTGAGAAAGTAATCTGCTTTGATCATCCAGTAAAACATCCATTTCAGCCTTCAAAACATTAGAATTACCCCATCTTTGGCATTTGAGCTTGTTCTTCAATTTTTTGAGGTTCTGGCAAAAGGAGTAGAGAGGACTAGCTTTTGGAGAGTGAGCAAAAGTGTCCAAAAATATGTCCCAAAACTCTGGCTTAGTGGTCCAATAATTCTTAAACATGAAACGGTGGTTATGGGGGGAGGTGTCAAAAGATGATAGAATCAAAGGGGAGTGATCAGAGCTCAGGGGTTCACCAACTCTATAGAAGGAGTTGGGAAAGGTAGCCAGCCAACTGTCATTGACCAAGATACGGTCCAGCTTAATGTAAATAGGATTGTCAACACGCTGATTGAACCAAGTAAACAAGTGACCGACAGAAGATAGGTCATGGATGCCCGTGTCAAAAATCATCCTATTGAAGTCCCCTAAATTGTTAGCATTAAGGGGAATGCCACCAGCTTTCTCATAAGGCGATCTGCAATAGTTAAAATCTCCCAACACAGCCCAGGGTCTGCAAATATTGGTAGAAATGCTTCTAATATGATTCCAAAGGGTTTGCCTTTCAGCAAAAGCGTTGGAAGCATAAACAGCAGTAACATCACATAAAGGGGAACCAGCAGAATAATAGTACCATGAATAAACTGACTAGTCACAATGATAGGAGAGAAGTCCACCACGGCAGAATTCCACTTAACCCAAATGCGACCTGGGTTAGAAATGGCAAAATTGTCACAAGCTCCTTCACTAGGGAAGAGTTTGTGGGTGGCAAGAAACCAGGGGTCCACAGCCGAAGAAGGGGAAACTTTAGCTTCCAGAATGAAGATAATGTCAAGGTGCTGAGAGATGACAAACTGCTTACAGCAGTTAACTTTTTCAGGTCCGTTGAATCCACGGATATTCCAAACAGCAGTGTTGGGAAGGGTCATTTATGTTTTGAGTTGGAGGTTGCCTTTTTGGCATTCTTGGCACGAGTGTTTATGAAATAGTTTATTAGTAAAAATTAAATTTGTAAATTTTATGCTATAAAATTATTTCATAAAATAATAAAAAAAGATCTGAAATCAAACTTACTCTTATGGATTCAAAAAGGAGGTTATGTTACTTTTTCTTGTTTTAATGTCTTTGTCATAGCACAAAAAATAATGAGGACTTTTAATGGTATGTTAATCATAAATTGTATGAATTTGTAAATATTAAAAATGGCTCAAAAAATTGTAAATGGTTTATTTTGATATTATTTTTAGGTTAGAATATTTATGGTGGTGAAGATATAATTTAATGTTGTGATTTTGTATGAATATCTGACATACACAGATAAAATAAGAGAATAAATGAGGCACTAGAATTTTATGACAAAATTTTCAAACGGGAAAAAATTGTAGGGCTTGGCCTAGTTCCATCGAGGCTTTGGTTACAAAAATTTGCCCGCCCCTCAAATTAGAGAATGCAGGATTACAAGAGTATGAGTTGCTAGATTGCGCTTCTGTGAGAGTGGCAGAAAATATTATTGAGATGATAAAGGATGAGATGTCGTGAAATGGTTATGGCGAAAGGATGGCACATTGACAATGATGGTTAGGTGGCGATAGTCTGACGATGGCATTTTGAACAGTGGTCACCAGGTGGCCTGATGATCATGGTCAGACAGTGGTTAGGTTGCAGCAGTCTGATGATGATAGTCACATGCTTAGAAGTTCTAAAATATTATGGTCTTTAGGCAATTGCCCTTATGTCGAATCCCGCCAGGGGGCGCTGCCTCCTTGAACCCCCGACAGTTACTTATAAATTTACCCCCCTGAAAATTAAAGTTGATCCCGCCCCTACTTCCATATCAACTTATTTGTATAAACAAGCTAAATGTTCCCAGCCACAAAATAAAACTGACCTTCCCCTCAAAATTCACCAATTCCATAACACAAAATAATGTACTTACAAGCCCAAAGTTGCATTATATATATATATATGAATGAAATGTGTAGGACTGTACAATTCCTAGCTCATTCCAGTAAAAAACAAACAAGCGTTTGAAAGGAATGTTTTTCACATCCTTCCAGAAGAAAGCTCAGAAGAATCTGGCTCTGAAAAACCATGGAAGTACTAAAATTAAAACAAGAAAAGACAAGAAGAAATTACAGAAAGACTTGCTAATCAAACAGTTGGCCCTCACTTGCAAGTTCTGGTTATTGTTAACATCCAGGCTTGTGCCCTCATTCCACAGCTTCATGAAGTTACTGTCTTCCTCACCAACAATATTTTTTGCTGTCACACCACAGATTTCACAGATCCTGTATTTCATTAACAGCATTCAGAATATGTTATGAGCATAGTATCAACATAAAGTAGTTAAACAACGTATTGATGTGGAAATAATGGTGATTAGTTAATCTCCTTTGATTTAGGTTTCATTTGGGACGGCTTTTTTCTGCTTCTTAAAGAAACTTTTTACTAAAAAAATTAATTTTTTATTAGAAAGCTGCTTTAAGAAGCAGTTTGAAAGCCGTCCCAAACGAAAACTTAGACTTCATTTGAGACGATTTTCTTACTGCTTCTTAAAGCAGCTTTTTAGTTCAAATTTTTAAATTTTTATACTTAAAAGCTGCTTTAAGAAGCAATAAAATTGTCGTCCCAAACAAAATCTTACACTCTCAAAAGCATACAAAGTACAGTTTCATGATAAGATATAATTTGATCTAAATAAATAAATCCTAATTTGATCTATAATTCCAAACTCTGATTGGGATGCCCTGGATCATTTCTAGCTAGATGACCTAGACAAGAAGATCATGGCACCGAAGTTTTGACTTTAGCCAAGTGTTTAAGGCTTTGATTGACAAAGTTTCAACAAAAAAAGGTGAGTGAAAAAGCAACATGGGCTAAGCAAACTCAAGTATTAAGTGGCTTATAAAGTTTTTGCAAATATCAGACCTTATAACTTGTCAAGAGAAACGTGGCTCGATGAAGGTAACACCAAAGCACTTAAGAAACATCCATAGCCACTATGTAAATGCCTACACTTTGAGATGACAATAGCCCCCTATCTACCAAGATTTTAACTTGTCCGGATGCTAGAGATCTTGAGCCATGTGTTACAAGTAGATAGCAACATTTTAAGCTAGAGATAACCATAGCTCTACTAGATCATTGGACATTGACAAACTTATAATAGAAACTATGACATCTCTTAACTTGGGGATTGACCTCCACGGAAACATTTAAGTTTTGGTTGCCATGGGGGACCTTAGGCTCCTTGGCACTAAGATCCACCATAGAAGCACCCTTCATAAATATAAAAATATAAATGTAAGAGTTAGAGAGGGATAAAAGAACATATTTGAGTTTAGAGAACCCCCTCACCTTCTCCTTGCTTCGATATTCTCCCAAGTTACCAAATTGATAGTGTTTCGACAAGGCCTCTTGGGAGTGAAAGTTGAAGTCTTTTGGCTTGAACATAATAAGGGTCATCATATATAAAAGAGGAATGGTGGGGAGGTTCCCATTGTAACAACCCAAAATATGAAAACTGATTTAAAATGAAAATAAAAGTATTTTTATGTATATTTTAATCAAATCCTAAGCACTAAAATCAACCAAGCACCTCCATTAAGCCGCAACTTGCTCGGGAAGGAAAGGGAGAAGGGGGAGAGGAAGAGAGAGAAAGCTCTATGGGGCTTTTGTATCCATCGCTTCTTCTGTAAAAAGTATTCTAAACGTTGTAACTAACAATCATCTTACCTCTAGTTTCAATGATTTTGATTTCTATAGATTCAACTTTCCTAAATCTGTCAAAAATGTATTATCTCCTGATTTCATAAGATTTCATCGTTTAACTTTTGATATGTTTTAAATTTGTTCATTTTGAACAATGTGATATGATTTTATTATATTTTCATCGGTTAAATTTATGTATATGTATATGAATATTTGTGTGAAAAGAGTAGAAAAATGTATACTGAAAATGGGTTGATAAGTAATGTACTTTAATTTGATATGATAATATTGAATGTGATTTTGGTAAAAATAACTAAAATGAAATTAATGTGAGATGAAAGGATGTACTGTACTGTACTAATACTGATCTGATATAAAATGATATACCAATTGATATTAGATATATATAATATGATAACCCCACGTAAATCCCTCAAGATTAACTGGTGGAGTTATAAGGAGCTGGAGATTGATTGAGAGTTATAAAGAGAATGGGCGATTGTCACGTGATTCAAGGGGGAGATATAAGGAGTCCATTGATTGAGAGTCATAAGGGGCGACAAACTGTGAGTCATAAGTGCAAGAGCAAGATCAAAATTAAGATGTCCTCTTCTGAATATCTGAATATTGTTATTTATACCTAATTGTACTAGCAATGGACATTGGTCATTATTACTGATGATTTTTTATATGATTACTAATATTGATACATTGTATTGATATTATGACAGACACTAGTAATGTTTGCTATTACTGATCCTATAATTGATGATGTAATAGAATGAGATGTGATTTGTTACAGAAGGATAAATTGATACAAATAACTAATAGTTTGGTATAGCTAACGGATAATGGTGTAATATAGAATTTTTTATATTGATTTAAAACATATTGGTTCTCTTTTGTCTTGCATTGCTTTCAGTTGTATGATTTTAGTTGAAGGGTTATTTGCTCCTTACGTGGTTTTGTATAATTTAAGATAAAGGTAAGGAGCCTGTGGATTGAGGCTTAGTTATAATGATATTTTAATTTTCGTTTGGTTCTTATAGTTTATGTATATTCATTTGTAGTCTATGAATACTTGTATATATTGTTTTGGACTCTACCGACATGATGATGTGATTATGGGCTATAATAAGGTGAATTATGATTTCTATTATGTATTGTTTTATTTAATGCATTTGATCAGCTCTGGATATTTACAGATCTGATAAATAAATGAATATAATGAGATTGAAAGGATAATAGCACAAAAAAAGAAAAAGAAAAAAAAAAAGAAATTCTTTCACTTTAGATTCCGGGGAGTGACACCCATACCCTGGAGATGTAAGCCTAAAGTCTCCTTGTAATTCACATAGTTAGGTTAATGAAGTGGCCCCATCAGATGAATTAAAAATGGGTTTGGACTGAGTTGGATTCTAGTCAAAATCAGGTATCTCATATGTTAAACGATGACTCGTAAAATAGTTACAAGATAATCATTAACTTAGCGGTGAACGGATATGGTTTAGAGGCAAGTCGTTACCCTATTCAAAAAAATTGTCTCATGCTCAATTAGTTTTGGATTAATGTTAAATGTCAACGACAACCCACTAATAGGCTAACAACAACCCACAATATTGTAGTGGCAAGCCATTAACTTTGTTAGTTTTGGCTTGTAGCCTCTCTTATCTTGTGCACCTTCACAAACTTAGGCCATCACTAAGCAAATAGGATTCATTTGAGCAGAGCTTTGAAATTGATCCAAATTTTATCAGATGGATTTGGATTTGGCCAACATTTGATTTCCTAGTATTTGGGGATGACCCGAATTTGGCTGGATAGAATTGAGTTAACCGTTATTTAACTGGGTAGGATGGTTCATTTAGAAGTTTACATAACAGCCTCATACATACCTTCTCTTCCCTTGCATTCCTACAGAGCTTTGGGGTAAAGCACCTATGCTATATCTATGGTTTTTAAACTTGATTTATTTTCATTTTTGCTCCCATCATATAAGTTAAGGTTTCATTAGTTTCAACTGTTCTAGCAGTTTTAAGCGTTTAGTTTCAATCATTTTTTTATTTAAAATGCTAAAAAAACTATTCATTTGAAGTCAATTTTTTAATAAATATCTAAATATAATATGCTTTGGAAGATTTTTTTTAAGTTTCAGGTCAAGTTTTGACTTTTTCAATGATTTCTAGCGTTTTCAACAGTGTTAGTATTTTCTAAACTGTTTTAAATTGACAAGAACAGAAATTTTCAGCCAACTTTTAGATTTGTCTCAGGCAAAAATATTAAATTCAGCAGTTTTGTATCGATTTCAAACTAAACTAAAATCATAGTGTGGAATTTCTGCGCTTCCAATCCTTTTAATTTCGACAATTAAGAAAAAATTTACCCCTCCTAATTCCTAAATCCAAGTTCAGCCAGAAAACAAACTAGGTATGGTGATTCCAGAAGCACAAAAAATTTCATAATTTTTTTTAAAGAAATTCTTCTTGTGAAAACGGAGTCCAGCAATAAATCCAATAATAAGTACCAGCTGAAATGCTGAATCCACAATATCGAATGACTAACAAAAATTAAAGGAAATTTCTCCCTTACCTATTTCCCTTAACCCTAAACCAGGCCTCGGCGCAGCGGCGGTGCGCAAATCCCAGCTCGCCTTTGCACCCGCATCCGATCTGAATCTGCTCCCACCCTCCCGCCGGTGATCCAGCCAACTCCGGGCTCAAATGACAAATCCGGCAAATCTTAGACCCCTCCGATTCCAAATCCTCCCTATTACATTCCACGGAAATCGATACGCAGGCTTTTCTCTCCGCTCCTCCTTCAACAGAGACCGCATCACTAGCTTTCGGCAGCTCGTCAGGAGTGAAAGCCTTCGCATCTTCCGCTCCGCTGTCGTATTTTATTGCGATAACAACAACCCTATCCGCCGCCGACGATTCTCCGTCACCGGCGACACCGCCGTCCATTGCTTTCTCTTACGGAAGATTTTCCTTGTGCAATCGTGCACGAAAGGCATCTCTTATCAAAAAAGTTTTTTTTGGGAAAATTATCCAAAAAGTTCGAAATTACCTAAAAACCAACTATCACGTCCAGTAGTCAATTTCAGTGGGTCCCAATGAGGTCAAAACTGTCAATCAATTTATTATGAAAAGTGAATATTTATTTATATATATAATTTCAGAGTCAATTTTTTTTGTTGCAAATATTAATTGTATTTTTAAGTTTGAATAAAATATTGATACTTTTAAATAATATAAAAAATATTTTTAAAATAAATTTTATATTTTTTTATTACAATTATTTATAAAGAACTTAATTCAGTGTAAATGATTCTTATATATATATATATATATATATATAGTTTGGTGATATATATCAAAAAACACCTAATGATTTCAAATATTACAGATGAAGCCAAAGAGAAGAGAGAATTGTGCGGTGGATGAATGGTTTGGTGATAGATCGTACGGCTGAGAGGCCTTTAGGCAAAAAATAGAAGATGGCATCAAAGATGGGTTATTTTCGTAAATGACCTCAGGGAATGTAATCCAACGGCTACCATACATTTTCCAACAGCTGTCATGGCCCCACTTAACAGGATGACGTGGCATGACGATGATAGCTCATTATAATAAGGATTAGGATAACATTCATATGATCATTATCTTATGATGTCTATAGTGAAAAAAGGGCAAATATATAATTAAAATTCTTTTCTCTCTCTTAATTGAGCACTAATTTTTAAGAAAAAAAAATTATTAAGATGGGCCTAAGCTTTTTTGAATTTGCACAGTGATTACTACTCTCTCTCTAGCATTCAAAAAATGCACTAATTTTAGAGCAAATTCAATGACAATAATATTTATTTAGGGTGAAAAATTATGCTATTTAACCACCATCATCAGCCGATTACAATACTGACGACCTCTTGTGCCCAACTATGATCCCCTGACTATTATTGTTCGATTACGATCTCTCTAACCACCATCATCCAACTACGATCTTTCCAACAATTCTCATCATACTACGGTCCCCTTAACCTCTAGTGCTTAACTACAACCTTTCGACTACCTTAGCCTGACTATGATCATTCCGACTAAACAAGCAAGTCAGCAATCTCTTTAAGTATAGCTCTCATGCTATTGAGTTCTTCCAACTCCAATCATTTAATGTGCTCAATGTAATATATATTTGTTACATTGTGATATATTATTGATTTTCTCGTTAAAATTACATTATGAAAACATATGATACGATGTAGTCATACCATGGTCTGACCTCATACTTGTTAGTGTATGTATACGCTGCCCATAAAAATATAAATTTAGGCTTTGTTTGATACAGCTTTTTTATGACTTTCTAAAATAACTTTTTAAAACTAAAAAATTTGTATACTTGAAATTTTTTTAAAAAGCAGTAAAAAAATTATCACAAATGAAGCCTTGATCTTTTTTATACTTTCTGAATCACCGAGCCCACTTTCTCTCTCCTCTATGTTCTCCTATACTTGTGTTCTTCCTTGTTCATGCTCAAATTTATATTTTTTCCATGTATTAAAAAGAAAGTGGATAAAATAGTTATTGGATTCATTGAGAATTTCACAAATTAAAGATAATAATAATAATCATAAATTCAAAGCCATAAACAAATCACTGTGATAACCTATCCTGTCAACAGCTCAATCTTATCAACCTTGACTTCAATCTTTTAGACTGGCCAGGGTGATTGGGCTGCCAGCTTATTAGCTAATCACAGGTTAATTAACAGATCATTTGATCCACTAAACAGGTTGTCAGTGAATCTGGTTCCTTAATGGGTTGTCTTCTCTACTTGTTACATGATTGAAGGCTATTGATCTGTATGATCATCGTGCCACCTGTTAATCCTATCATAGTTTAAATTGCTAAAGTAGATTATGTTAAAAAAAATAAACACGATTTAAAATTATTTGTACACAGTATATACACTCACAATCTGGACGATTCTTCCCATTCAGACTCCGCACATAATTTCTCTGAAACTGGAGAGCCACAGGAAGTACTCTGCAAGTAAGATAGATGCAACTGAACATTCTAATTTGATTTTTTTTCCATCATTTTCATTTCAAGAAAATAAAAAATTAAAGAATCACAAGACAACCACACAAGCAACTAAAAGTTGAAAATTGCAAAAAGAAAAAAAAAATTGTCATAAATAATAATACAAAGACAGGTTCCAGTACTACAATTTGCTCCCCAAATCATCATCTTCATCATCTAAAATAATCTTTTTTGGATCAAATGCAAGGCAAATATACAAGGGGCTGAGGAGTGGTAGATCAAGAATGAGGCACAAAAACTTTGCAGGAAATTCATCTGCTATACAACTTAGGTTTTCTGGGAAATCAAAGTTCTTCATAGTTCCCCTTTGGATCTTTGAAATGTTCTAGTTCAAAAATAATGGTGGCTTCAGGTACCTGAAGGATGGAGAGTAGTACTGAGGCCGGCCTGCCTTTTCACATGGTCAGGTATCAGCTTGTTGATGAGCTCTGGTGATGCGCCTGATAACTGCAAGATATAAGGTTTTGAATGTTCCATGCGTTAGGAAGAAAAAAAAATTTTTTTTTTTTTTCAGGAGGGAAGAAATGCACAATAATTTTTTTCTATGTTATTTTAGTTTATTTTGAAAAATGTGGAAAGAAAAAGATAGAGGGATTTACATGTATATCCACTAAATTCTTGTGTATTTATATATCTAACATCCTCTATCTAAGGCATTGTTTGGGACGGCTTTCTTACTGCTTCTTAAAACAACTTTCTAGTACAAAAATTACTATAAGCTGATTTAAGAAGCAGTAAAAAAGCCGTCCCAAATGAATCCCAAATCACATCAATATATATACACATACATACACCAGTGCACATACACATAAAAGATATATTTCATGAAAAAAAAATAAAGTTAGATATTTTTTGTGTTATTTTTTATGTGATATAAAAATTAATGAGTTATATAAGTCAAGATAAAATTTTGAAATGTTTGATATATAAATATATAAAAATTCAGTGTATATATATGTGTGTGTAAATTCACAAAAAAAAAAATTATTTCCAACAAATTGTGATACCAAGCGTATATAATTAGTAAAGATTGCAGCCAACAACCCAATTAACTAACCATTTTAGAAAGAAGAAAAAAAAACTTCAGAGAATAAAACCAAGATGAGCGCATGGATGACACATAAGGAAAAAACTGGGTCAGGAAAATTTTATGTATTATCAATCGAACTCTTCTATTATACTTATTTCAAAATAAGTGCAGATATTTTAAAGCCAATCCTAGCAACACATTGCGGTCAGGTTAGTCGCCTTTTTTTTTAGAAGCTAAGAGTTCAAGTTGGTAGTATGTCAACGCAACTCACGGCTTTCTTATTGCTTCTTAAAGCAATTTTTTAGTACAAAAATTAAAAACTTTGTACAAAAAGTTGCTTTAAGAAGCAGTAAGAAAGTCGTCCCAAACAAAACCTATATGTATATAAAATTTCAAAATTCTTCCACGCCATTTTCGTTCATCATTCCATAATTACACAAAATGACTCAAGTTTAGAAACTTCTTTTTTGAGTTCAGATAAAAGTTTCTAAAGCACACAGCTATTGCTGCTTTTTTGTAAGTTTAAAAGAAGCAGAGAAGTTATAAGCTACGTACTTCTTGTTTGAAGTTAAAAAGAGGGGGGAATGGCCTGCCATTTGGCAACCGAGCATTGGGTTCTCGTAGCTCATCAAAGAAAGGGTGGGCACATGCTTCAAGCTGCATAGAGACAAAGGGCAACGTATTAGTACTTAGTAACTGACAAAATGGAGTAATAAAAGTTCATATGGAGTAACCAAAGTTCAAATTTTATAGCCATATCTTCTTCTTTTTTGTGTGTGGAGAAACTGAATGTTGTACTACAAACACAAACATCAGTATACGATAACCAGAGAATTTTAAAGCTATTTCATGAACTTAACGTGAAAATAGCGATTCAGCTTTTTCTCTTCCTTTGGGATGATTTTCTTACTGTTTCTTAAAGCATCTTTTTAATACAAAAATTAATTTTTTTTACTAGAAAGCAACTTTATGAAGCAATAAGAAAACTGTTACAAATGAAGCTGAAGTAAGCACAAGAACCCCATCACAAAAAGTCCTTCCAGATCCATTTGATGAACTTAATTCATAGATAATGAGTCAGCTTCTGCAGAGACATAAATTATGAAACAATTTACCCTATAAAATAAAAGTAGGACATCCCACATAACGCTGTAGTCCAAAGAAAGGCCAGAGATTTTGATTCACATCCCACATAACGCTGTAGTCTCTCTCTCTCTCTCTCTCTCTCTCTCTCTCTCTCCCCTCTTTGCTCTCCTCACCTCTCAGCCACTTTCAAAACTTCTTCTTCACTAATATTTTGACCGATGCCACTAACTAGAACTTGAAATCAGCTCTTCCTCACCAGCAGTCAAAGACCAACAATGATTTGCCACGAGTCTCCTCTACAACTATACCATCGCCAATTGATCTTGATCGCCGTAGGCCGAACCGATCACCAAGCCTGTTGTCGTCCGACAGAACATTTTCACTGGAAGCTACCTACAATTGCTCTCACTAGTAGCCTCAAGGCCCAAGACCTTCCATGAACCTGACAGAACATTTTCACTGGAAGCTACCTACAATTGCTCTCACTAGTAGCCTCAAGGCCCAAGACCTTCCATGAACCTTGCCCGCTGACTCTTATCATTAGAAACTAGAACTCCCTCCATGGGTCTCGTTGTTGCATTCAGTAATGAATTACTGCAATAGAGCCCCCACCTACTGTGGCCATCCGCGTTGATCAAATTGATCATCGACCCCTCATAGAACCATCATCATTGAACCTCGCTAGAAGCTATCATTATTCACATATTGTTGATCTTCCTTGGTGTTTTCGGACCATCCATTAAGATATCCGAATTAGTTGTGGAAGAGAAACCACTTAGAGATTTTGGTAACAAATTCAATAATATCAAATCTAAAGAGGAAAAAACTTAGAGATTTGCTGAGTGTGACTATAAGAAATTATGCCTTCACACATCCTAATAATCTCACTCTCGAAGATTAATTTCTGATGTGCAATCCACAAAGAGCGATTATACTCTATGAGCCACACCCTTTCAATTAACAATTAACTTTAAGGTTGACTGAAACTTGCAACACCTCAGGGCTCAGGCCAGCACTGGCAAATATGCCAGCATTTATCAAAACCTTCGTTTTGCTGTCATGTTGCTCCCTGCTCCTCAAAAATCAGTTACCTAAAGTCCTTTTATACGTTAGTTATCCCATAGTGAAGCTCAAAAATCACCAACAATAGATTTTATAGTGGTTCCCACTTCTCCAAGTTTTCTTCTCATATACAAACTGTTGCATTTACTTGTATTATCATCATAGAACTATTGATCACCTTCTAGAAATTACTGCAAATAGTTCAGACAGCCTTCCTCAAATAGTAGCCTAATATAAACCATGTTCTTCTTCAAGCCAAACGTGTTTCATATTATGAAGCTTCCATGTAGAATTGTTACTGGTATTTAATTACACATCACCAACTCCCACAAGATTTAAAAGAGTTCACCATTAGGGAGAAAACCTTCCCACAATTTCCTAAGGAAGAATTAGTCATAAAGTTGTTATATATAGTAAGACTGAACTGACAAATTTGAGTCCAAGATCAAATAATCATTTAAATTATTTGCACTAAGGATTCGTCCATCATAAATCTCTTCTAATGCAATAGTTGCAGAGCCCACATATTTCCAACTTTGTCCACCCTTGCCCTGTGAATGGTACCTTTCATGGCTAGTCATACCTCATTAGAATGCACCGCTGCACCTTTGATTATCTACTTCATTGAGATATGGATTTTACTCAACCTCGGTTGTTTCACCTTCTTCGGTGATCTACTCCTACTATCAATGTTTAAAGACAAAGATGGCATACCCTCACTTTTTTGCAGCCATCTAATGTCCTCACTAAAAAAGAGATCTCTAATGCACCTAAGAACTGCTAACAAGCATCCTAATGTCATTCCAACATTCGGGCAACAACAAAAGCAAGCTTAACGCAAGGATCTTGTTATTGTACTTGTTGCTCAAAGCATTCAAGACTCATAATTGGGTTGAACTTATAGAAGCTCCTTTGAACGTCCTTAGATTAGAATACTTTCTCATAATAAATATCATTTTAACTATGACGGGCTTTTCATAAATATCAAAGAGCACATTTATCACACCCGTTGTGGCAGACTCGCTAAGTATATTGAAAGCAACATTCATGTTGAGTGACAGACGAATGACTCTCAATAATTGTTTGTCCATCATCCCCCACTTCTAATCAATGGACTATGGCTTTGTCCGTTACGACGATTGATGAAACTTTCTATGGTATAGATAGCATTCTACCTATACCTTCAATAAGTTAAAGTTTTCAGATATTGAATATGTCGATCTCGATCTTCTCATCTTTGTATATCATTCCACTTTCCAGTATACTCTAGAAAACCTTGCTCTAACACAAATCATTAGGAAAAGTTGCATCTAAGCAAAATATTAACAAAGAATGAATTGAATGAAATAATAACCTACAAGAAGAACACGCTAGAGGACTCCAAATAATTATGAAGTTCGAAGAGACCCACATAATCAACTTTTATCAAGATGGCAATCAACCCCTCACTCAAAACTATCATCGTTGACCCTTGCATGAAGTTATCGAATTTCACCTATTGTTGATCTTCTTTAAACGGAGGCCTTCCGATAACCCAGTTAGGAAAGTTGAGGTTTAAGATTAGTCTTATGTTAAGAAATGTAGAGGTAGACCTAAAAAGACTTGGTTAGAAAATATTAGAAATGATCTTTCTTTATTAGATTTAAATGAGAATTTGACTTTTAACTGGACAAAACGGCAAAAAAGAATTCATGTAGCCGACCCCATGTAGTGGGACAAATGCTTGATGTTGTTGTTGTTGATCTTCTTTGGAGCTTGTAGGAACCACTGAGAATAGCCAAAATATCAATGGAGGAGAAACCAAGAGTATAACCAACTATAAAGCAGAATCATATGAGGTGACGGGGGATGGCTTAGATTTAGAAATGGAGCATCAGATTTAATGAGGAATTAAGTAGGATTCCCAAATTACAGATTACAAGAGATTAAGATGGCAAATCTGAAGAGATAATAATTTAGAATTTTGGAGAAAGTACTATAAAAGAAAATATAGTCTTCACACATCCAAATATTAAGGTCATGTGCGAGACACATGATTAAGGCATGAAGATTATTTGAATAACCTCAAAGATTTAAGTTCAACTAGGCATTTAGTTCCACACCTCATAAAACAAAATGGCCATATTTGCTCAGAAAGTTTATTGACTCAACTATCTATTTAGTACGAATATAATCCAAGAGTAAATAAATAACAATGGATAATAGAGAAGAATTATTTAGCTATCAAGCACAAATATAATCCAAGATTAACTGAATAACAATGGACAATAGAGTAGAAGTATTTCAAAATAATAATGTCACTAAAGAAAGATGAATTGTGTATTAAGACATAGCATACGTTAATTGAAAGCAAAGTCAAACAGAGTAACAAAAGACATTGAAACCAACCCCTTTTTTAATCTTCCAATAAACAAAGCATATATAATATTTGTGTTAACTCACAGCAGTGCAACGAAGACTTGGAGAATACTGAAGAAGTCTTGATGCTAGATCTATAGCTTCTGGAGGCATTCGTTTATGGAAAACCTGAAAATTTTTCAAAAATTAGATTTCTGTAATATAAAAAAAAGTTATAATTGTATCTTTTTGTAGCAGTTGACATATTCTCAAACAACCAGCGCAAATTCTATAGTCATATCAATAAGCTGATAGGGAACAACCCAAAATAATGGAAAACAGAGCATAAATCTGCAATAAATAGCAGATTTTTCCACAAAACAGTAAGAAAAACTGAGAGACTCTCCAATTCAGATTCTCATTCAAGAGAAAGCCCTAACCCTCACAAGCGAAACTAATTCAAGCCAAGAAGATTATAAAATCCGAAAACAACCCCCACCTTCCCAAACATTTAATTGAGTTGTGCCCTCCCAAAGCAACATTTAATTGAGTGGTTCCCTCCCAAAGCAATACTTAATTGAGTTGTTGTTCCCTCCCAAAGTAATATTTAATTGAGTTGTGTCATTCCAAAGCAATATTTAATCAAGGCGTGGACCCCATAAGAGCAGCCGGCCCCTTCTCTCTCTCTTCCCTAGGCCGGCGGTTGTAGTAGTAAACCGGCCCACTAGGAACCGCTTCAATAGGAATAATCGGCCCCTCTTGGGCCGGCCTAACATAAGCTCAATGACTCAAGCCTTTCCAAGCTTTTAGAGTTGACTAAAAGAGCCCTTAAAATACTTGTTCATGATAAGTGGACATTTTTTTAAGATATAACTTCAAATGATCTTAAATAGGGCACTTAACTATCTAATCTTAAGCCGAACCAACTCCAGCTCAAGATCAGCAAGTCATTTGATCTTCTCTCAGGCCAAGCTAAGTTTGGTTATAGGTTATAACTCAATCCTATCACGATTCCAGCCAAACCTGACTTACTAATTTTAATCCAAGTTCGATTTGAGCAAAAAAAATTTTTTTTTTTGATCTTGACTAAGTTGCGATCACCTCAGCTTCTTAGCCCAATGTAGATAAGTAAACTCATACATGCATGCAAAGTATATATATACATATACATATGCATGCGTTCATTCATTTAAATCTAAGCATACAAATATATTTGCATATGCATTCATAAATACAAACTTATAATTTTCAATCCAATCTCGAGCTAGCTTGATCCACTCCGAGCATGACTATTCAAGTTTGATATGAGCTAGGCTTAGATCATTAGTCAGTTCGTTGAGTAAAAAATCAATCCAATTTTCATAATATATCTAAGATTCAAGCAAAATTCTCAATCCCCGAGTTAGGCTGTGTTTAGCTCACATCGTCTAGATTAAGCGATATATATATATATATATATATGATGAGGACATCTGCCAAAATTCAAACATGTGTACCGTCGGAGGAATCGTAAATCGATGGCTACGATTAAGAGTTTGTATTTTTGATGTATTTTATATTCTATGTATTATGTTGCATTTGAGTTTTCCCATTTTACCCATATGGGAGATTGAGTCTATATTGTAGCCTGAGGGCAATTTAGTATTTTCGGTTTTTCTTTCTTTGGGGCCCATTTAAAAGAGGCATCTTGCATTGTATGGGATGATGAATGATTACTAATGAAACTTCAACTTTCTAGTTCTTTATCTTTTTGTGAGTTCTTGAGAGGAGAAACCCTAGAAGAGGGCCACACATCACCCGTCAGCCGCCGGTGGATTCCGGGACACGCAGTTAGTACTCTTAGTATTTCCTTCCTCCCCCTTCCTTGGCTTCCACTGCCGGACACCCTCTCCAAGCCAACCCAAACCGCCTGAATCACTCTTCCTCCACCTCCCATCCGTCGGCACCCCCAACCCACTTCCGCCACCTGCTGCCGACTTCCAACCCCAACCCAACAGGCCGGCGAACCTCCTGGTTCACCCCCACCCGCCACCTTAGCTCCTGCTTCAACCGCCGGCCCCATGCAATTTTCCCCTCTAAACTTGATTTCAAACTCACCACAAAACCTTTCCAAATTTGGGCCCAATAATTTAGGAGTTGGTTTAAATTCAAATTTTGAATTTCAAATTACCTCTTAAATGACCCTCCATTAAAATAAGAAACTTCCTAATTAGTTTAAATCTGAAATCAATTTCAGATTTAGACCATTCATTCCCTTTAATTGCATGGGTCCACCTCATTAATGCCAAAACCCCTCCCTCCCACTCTCCTTGGTCGGCCACCTTAACCCCCCCCAATCATTAATTCCCATAATTGGAGCTTAAATCAAGGCTCCAATTAAAGCCCAATTAATCCCAACTTTCCCTCTCAAATTCATATTTTCAAATCTAATTAACCCCAAATTAAAATAGGAAAATTCTGAAATTAACTTCAAATTTTCCCTCTCAACCTAATCTCAAGCTAAGCTCACTCACCCCTCTCCTAAAACTGGCCCATCCTCCCCCTCTCACCCACGGCCGACCTTCCCTCCCCCAAACCGCCACCCCTCTCTCTCCCTACCACTTCAACCCTCCCTTCCCCACTCAAAGCAAATATGAAGGGCCGATCCGGACATTGATCACGGATTTTTAGAAGACTTCTACGGGCGGACCGACATCCTTCGATCCACTTTCTTTGACTTCAATTTGGACATCGACAACTCGGTGGAAGAATATGTGGATCACATCCTTTATCAATTAACACTTTCAATTGAAGAATACATCTGTCTGGGACGTTGGCAAATTGTCTATTATCCACCTACATCTCTTACTTTGGCTACCAATCTAACAACTACTACCCGAGCTTCTACCTTCTCTTGGTGGCATCACTAGGTGTATTGATCTCACTTCTCCGCCGAACCCTATTAGCTTGAGAGAGAGATTACTGGAACCCAAGGTGAATACATCGCTTTGTTAATCTGTGGATTTATGTTGATGTAGTCATCTCATTGCTTTTAAATTTATTGTTATGTTGAAGGACTCCTTTAAATCTAGTTTGTAAACAATTGCCTACACATCGTTTTCATCTTAAAAATATATATATATGTATATATATATATATATATGAGTTTGACTAGAATTTAACTAAAAAACTGTATAAATAGATACTAGGTAATAATAGATTAAGGATGAATAAAGAGAACCAACGTTGGGCATGCCAGGGTGCATTCCCCATCCCTCATATCAACTAAAATTGGCTTACTAGAAAATCCATAAGAACTCATTAATGTTAATGATACCCCTCTAAATAATTTTTCTTAATAGCTAAAATTGCCTTACTACAAAACCCATAAAAACAAAATAATTTGAATAATACCCTAAAAAATATTGATCTAAATTGTGTTGAGAATATTTTGGATTCAGAGATGTGGAATAGCTACATGCTTTTTAATATTTATTAGCTGGTAAGAGATCAGAACATCAACTGAATAAAGTCAAGCCTGCTGAAAACATTCAAAAAACATCTAGTCGATGGATTGCATCCAATAGACCTAACAGGGCAGCAAAATTTTGCCTACTTATAGGAACTGCTAATTAGAAACGAACAAGAATCAACAAAAACTGCTGCAAAGCTTTTCTATATCAAGAAATATTCAAATACAACATCAAAAAAAAATTCACATTATATTTGAATCATTAATTTTTAGATAATGAATGCTTCAGAAAGCATAGATTTCGTACATGGGTTTAAAAAAAACAATAAGGCGTTACCTCCAAACTGTTGCAAATATGGACTTAAGTACTGTGATTTTGATGATAACAAACATTATTGTTTCCTTGCGGCTATATCCTGACAATTGGTTTACTGCATATATGTTTTGTCCTATTCACTAACTTTTCAGGTCCACCATCCACTTAACTTTGATCAACTCAAGATTGGGTAGATCAGGCTTACCGTCTGTATTTTCAGTCGTCTATGTATGTTTTACTTTTCTTGAGTCAAATCATGTAATATGGTGGATACTATTGCTTTGTAACCAAGCACACACACATGGTGTGAAAGCCAGTTTTCTTTTGTTTTCCTTCCAGGTTCGTCCAGACGAAGTGGAATCGTCCGGGACGATCAGTTATAAATTGGTGACAGAGAGATTCGTCCCAGGACGAAGGTTGGTTCGTCCGTACGAAATTTTTACAGAGAGCAACTCGTCCAGGGACGAAAGGATTGGAATTAATTTTCGTCTGTACAATCTGTGTCCAGAGGAGATCGTCCCGGGACGATCTGGGCCATCGTCCTGGACGATCATGTTTGATAAATATCTGAACAGTGTCATTTTTTAAGAGAGAGGAAGCTGGGGAGAGAGAAAAACAGAGAAAAAGGAAGAAAAAGTGGATTTTGGATGACTTTGGTCCGTTTTCGTCCATCGCCGTAGTTGGGAAAGTTGATCTACTCGAGTTAAGGCACATTATGCCTTTCTCAACTTTCAGAAATGTGGTTTTTGATGGATTCCTTGTTTCAATTTTTCGTTTTCGTTAGCCTAAAAGTGATCTATCTTTGTATCGACGAAACTTTTACCGTGTAACTTTTGGTATGTTGTAGAGATGATGTTTTTGCACGTTTTAAGTATTTTCTGGAAAGTTTCACTAGGTAGTTTGAATTCTGCAGAGTTTTTATCGAATAAAAAATTATCTGGATGTTGAAAAATATTGCTTCAGTACAATGAAAGTCTTAAAATGATGTTTTACACTATCTGTGGTAATTTGATAATTTTCTGAAACTGTGAATTTGATCTGTTGAAACTTCTGTGGACTGTCGTTATGCCGCTGACGATTCTTCTAATGTAATCTGATTTTTCTAAATTTGACGATTTGATGTGTTTAAATGCTATCAGAAGGGAGTTATAAGGGGCCAGAATCCTTTAAGATTCTGTCTGTGTCAGGGAAAGAAGTTATAAGGGGCGGGAATCCTTTGAGATTCTGTCAGGGTCCGGGAATCTGAAAATAAATTCTGATCTGATCTGAAATATTATGGTGTTGTAAGCACAAGGGAGGCATAAGGGGCCAGAATCCTTTGAGATTCTGTCTGTGTCAGGGAAGGGAGATATAAGGGGCCAGAATCCGTTGAGATTCTGTCTGAGTCAGGGATATGTGATATGTGACCTGATCTGCTTTGACAATGTGCTTTATGAATTGTACGATTCTGTGATCTGTGATTTAAAATATGATATGAACTCTGATTTGAAATCTGATTTGAATAATTCTGTTATATGAAATGAATTCAGTTATTCTGTATCAGTTATTTGATTTCTGATTGATTATCTGTTTTGTATGAGTATCAGTATTCTGTTTGATTATATGAGTTTATGTACGATTATCTGAATTTTGTGCGACTACTTGAATGAACTATTCTGATGATTTTGATGTGAGTTTTTGGAGATTTTGATTGGCTAGTGTAGTCGTGCTGAGTTGTTAGCTTATTCTTGTTATCTGTGTGGTTTTCAGATTCTGGGAAGGGGAAGGAAGTTTTGAACTAGCTGTTCCGTATCTGATCTGAGATTAAGTATTTTTGAACTTTTGATTTTTGTACAATCATGGCTTTTCTGTTCTGTTATGTACTTTCTATTATAGACATGCACTGTAATGTACATGATTATTTTGAAGAATGAGAAGAAATGTTAGATGAATTTCAGTATATTGGAAGTTTATAGTAGCTATGTGTTTTCTGTATGATTATTCGAAAGAAAGTCTGAAACCAAATTCCAAAGCTAGATCCTGGATTCATCTGTCGCGACTCGATGCAATGGGACTTGTTCCGGTCGGGTTGGGTCGTGACACATGGGGAGAGAGAAAAATGTAATGTTAGATTTTTTATTTTCCATATTATACGATTCTAAATCGTATTGTACAATTTTAACTCGTACTGTACGATTTTAACTCGTACTGTACGATTGAGTTCGTTCTGCTAAACCCCAGCCGCAAAAGTTAAGGATGATACTATTTTTGTACTGATTGTATAGTACGACTAAAATCGTATTGTACAACCATATTCATATCTTGCTTAATTTGACCCCGAAAATTAGGCAATCAAATCATGACATTTATGATCAGCTGATCGTGTTGTACAATACTATTCATACAATATGATTGATAGAGTACGAAATTGGTCATCCCAGAGATCGTACAAAACGAAAACCATGATTTTTGTATTGATCGTACTGTACGATGTCCACAATGTTGTACGATCGACAGTGTATGAAATTGTCCATCCCATAAGTCATCCCAAACAAATAGAAGGAATTTCTACAGTTCGTACCAAACGATCTTATGATCGTATGGTACAAAGTGTTGTGAGTTTTGAACAATTCGTTTGAACGACTGTTCACATGATACTAGATGAACCTTATTTTGTATTGATCGTATTGTACTATACTTGTATCGTACGGTACGAACAAAAGATTTCTTGAAACCCACTATTTAAGCCTCTCATATTTTTCTTGTGATATATCTTTTGTTGTTGACTTATTTTGAGAGAGAGCTTTGAAAAGGAAGAGAATGAGAACTTTGGGAGAAAAGAAAGGGAGAGATTCTTATGATGGGGAGTTATGAGGGATTCACAAAGATTACTCCAAGCAAGATTTTCATTGTCTTCTTCAAGCTGCTTTCTCGATTCCTTGGTGGCTCTAGGGAGACATTCTTTAGCATCAGATTTAGGCTCTATGCCTACTCCAGGAGGGAGTAAAATGTTTCAGGTTCTCTGCCTTCATCAAGAGAGTGTAAAAGATTCAAGGTTCGTTGCCGTCACTGGGAAGATTCTCTGCCACATCGGGGAGGTGAAAGTGATTTTTGTAAGGGCTTTTCCGCCTACCGGTAGGGGTTAAATGAGAGACACTAAAAGGTTTAGTGCAATACTCGGAGGAGGCCTCCAGAGAGTGGACGTATGTCAGATTTGGCCGAACCACTATAAAATATGGTGTGTTCATTCTTTTACTTTTCCGCATTTTAATTTCCGCACTCGTTTGTGATTTTAGTGTGGTTGAAATTTCTAATTATTGTGAACTTCATCTGTTTCCGCATTGTGGGAAAAACTTGTTTGTTTTAAAATATTTAAAAAGATTTTTCTTTTTTCTTTACATAATTTTTTAAAATAACTAATTCACCCCCCCTCCCCTCCCTCCTAGTTAGCATCGGGTTTGTTCTTAAAGGTTTAACAACCCTCATGAATTTTCACAAATAGAAACGCTAATGAAATCAGGACACTTGCTTGGATGGATTTCCACCATGTGAGATTATTAATACCAAAATCAACTAATAAAACTATCATCACAAATTCTTAACTTGTAGAATCAAAAACAAACCCAGCCAACATCAACACATAATTACACGTAAATATATTCATGCAATTTCAACTTATTAAGCATCATGTTTTAGTTCCCTGCATGGAAACTTGAATACCACAAAAAATTACTGACAGTGTTTATTAGAAACTGAAATTCATTCAAGGATTTAGCAAGCTTAAAACCCTGATAGCAGAATACTGATTCAAAGCCCTGCAAATAAGCCATTAAAATTGGATTGCAGAGAGGATAACCAAATCCGCTCATGCAGCACTTTTAAACTGTATAAAGAGTATCATGACATGCTTATAAATTTTCTCATTCCTCATGCAGATATCGGAAAAAGTAGAATATTAATGGGAAATCTCTAAAAGAAACATAAAGAAAGATGAAATTCTAGTCATCGATAGATATAAGAGGCCTGATCAAATGCAAACATTTCCAATCTCTTTCAGATAAAACAAAAATCTGAAATAGAAAACAGAAGAAAAGAACATGCCTTATGCCACGGGTGAGCTTTTATCTGAGAAAACCGAAATTCAGTGTAGTTTGGATTCATGCATCGAATTTCTTCTCGAGTAGGAGTGCCAAGAACCTAAACTGATTTTTAATCAGTCTAGAAGTTTATAAACCAATAAAATTGAAATATACGCAAATGCGAATACAGCAACATACCTTGATTATCTCAACCAGCTGATCTACAGCACTTCCACCTGGAAAGAGAGGCTAAAAAAGATGCCAAAAGAAAATTGTAAGTAAAAAAGTGAAAAGAAGTCTTATTCAAAATGGCGTTGCTACAAAATTATGCTGATATATTCTTAAGGTTCTGCAGCTTTAATTAAAGAGCATACCTGACCAAGTAACAACTCAGCAAGAACACATCCTGCTGACCATATATCAATTGATGAGGTATATTCCACGGCACCAAATATGAGCTCAGGAGCTCGGTAATATCGAGAGCAAATGTAAGAAATGTTAGCTTCTCCTTTTACCTGAAAGAAATCAAAGCATTCGATTGGGATAAGATTGGGATAAGGCTAATGTGACGACAATGACAACGTATAATCAAGATTAATGCAAGAACAATTGCAGAAGGAAATAAAGTTAAATAAGATAAAAACTAAATCAAAATCTAATATCATTATTCAACATGTAAAAACCTTCCAGGCAAACAGTGAGAAGACAAAAAAAAATTAATGAAAGTGTGGTATGGAGTAGGAGCTATCACATGACAACAAGCCTTTGAAATCTAAGCTCACATAAGAAAGTTTTGCCAAACATAAATGCCAAAAGAAAAGTGATATATTGCCATAGATGATGATGGCATTATAGAACATTTCATATGCATACAGCTAGCATTTAAGTTTGAATTTCAGGATACAAGTCATGAATAGCTTAAGTCAAGAACAAGCTTGGTTTTACGTTCAAAATCTTAGCTGGAGCTTTAGCTTCAGAGGTTTCAAAAGCTTTAGTGACAATTTTGGGTAATAACCTAATGTTTTATATGATAAAAAATAAATAATTTCAATATAAATAATTATATAAATGAAGTAATATAGCATTTCCTGACTTCTGGGAATTTTGGCTGCCAGCTAACACAAACACCAACCAACTTAACCATTTTTCGTCAAAAAGCCGAAACCTGATTTTTATGGTCTCAGATTTGATTCCAGCAGAAACCAATTCAAATTGGCATTTTTCAGATTGGTTTCAGCCAAAACTAAGGTTAAATCTATTTACATATGCTACATGTTTTATTTCAAAATTTCAATTGCAACATTGAAAAGTGATAATTTCCCATTTATTCTAAAGGTCTACATTAGTGAATTATCTTGAATATTAGGTATAAGCATGTATGCCGATATAAACACGCAAATAAAGCAAAAATATAACATAAGCTATAAGAGAAAAAGGCTATGAACTTGATCCATAATAATAGACATACCAAGACTTTAGCGCTCCCAAAATCGCAAAGCTTAACTTGGTGGGTAAGAGGATCAACCTGCATGAGAGCCAAATTGGTTCCATCAAGAAATTCTAAGGGAAAATCCCAAAGTAATTTACTGTCATAGAAGCATACCAGAAGGTTTTGGGGCTTGACATCCCTATGACAAACTCCTGGAACAGTATGAATGTATGCTAAACCCCTAAATATCTACATAAAAATACAGTTAGCAAGACAAATTCAAGGATCAAAATATAGCTAAGAAGTCATTTTAATGGAAAAAACATGCACCTGATACATATAAAGCTTCACATAGATAAGTGGCATTCGTTGGTTTGCATTGCTGTAGTGTTTCAGGACTCGGTAAAGGCATTCAGGGACATATTCCATAACCAGGTTGAGAAAAAGTTCATCTCTGTTTGTAGTGGAGAAAAAGCAATGCTTCAAAGATATCACATTTGGGTGATCCATGGACCTCATCAGCTGCAGCTCACGATTTTTGTACCTTCTATCCTGCAAGACCTTCTTTATAGCAACAGTTTCCCCAGTCTCCAAACATTTCGCCTGTAAAGACAGTATAAAACATTGAAAATCTACTAACATAAGAAATTTTCTAAAAGATCTTTCCACAAAGAACGGATCATACCTGAAAAACAATCCCAAAAGATCCAGTTCCAACAACACGTTCTGCCATGTAACTAACGGTCTACCAGAATTCAAAATATCAAATTAAGAAGGTAATCTTGACTTAAGTGAATCAGTAAACTCTTGCTTACCTGCTTGGCTTCTCCATTCTTTCCTCCGATCGTAGTTGAGATAATATGTCCGGTTACCGGACCATTCCCTTCAACAACAGAGGCTTCCTGAAATAATTTCCGATTAAAAAGAAGTTTAGACTGACTGCCGGAAGTACATTTTAGACAAAAACAAAGAACAATTATAAGATCTTAAAAATGGTAGATGGCCCGACCAAAAAAAAAAAACAGAACACTCCCCGAAATTCAAATTTTGAGAAATAAAACACCAGCAACAGAACATCAAAAGGAATGGCAACTGCAAAGAAGGCCCTGCAGCCGGCCCGTCTAGGAGTTTGGGGCTTTCAAAGAGCCAGGAAAGTCCAAAAAGTAGAAGATCAAACAAGCAGTACTCCCGCCAAGCCATAATCCTTACATGCAACCAGATGCAACGAGAAAACGAGGAGCCTGAGAAACCTGCTAAATTTAACAATCCTCCTCCCTCTTGAGGAACCTTCTCACGAAACTAAAAGCGAATCAAAGAAATCAACCAACGGTCAAAACGAAATTCATAAGAACATACGAGGCGTAGATCACAAGGTAAAGCGGACTTATCAAAAACATACACAAGATAACATCCAACAAAACCCAGACCTGGAAAAGTTCAACACATATATAACCATAGAGAGACGCCCCAAAAAGAAAGATCCAAAATAGAAAGAGGATCGAAAAATTTCTAAATCTCCCAAACACAAGAGCCGATCTAGTCCACGGACGTGAAGAAACGCCAGCTACAACTCCCCAAAATCAACACCAAAACCAGCAGAGAATCAAAAGAGAAGAGAAAAGAAGTATGCTTGCAAAACCGCGTCACAGACCGGGATCTGGTGCGCAAAAAGAGGAAATAGACTGAAAGCTGGCCGGAATATACCTTCCCTTCCTCCATCTCCGGCCGACGATCTTCAACCCTCGGCCCCACCCCATGCTCCTGAGGAAGACGAGACGGCAACGAAGCCATGTGAAGCTCCCTCCCTCCCTCTCTCTCTCTCTCTCTCTCTCTCTCTCTCTCTCACGGCAACGAAGCCATGTGAAGCTCCACCACCTCTCTCTCTCTTCGCTGATTGTTCTTCCCCTCTTATTCTTCGCTCCAAAATACACCCACTTTGCGATGACGGCAGAGAGGGGGAGATCGCGCTCCGACCAATAAACGGACCTCTTCAGTGGGTCCCACGTGTAGGGCTGCCTTCCATGTCATCTGGTCCAATTTGTGGTCATCTTTTGGGTGTCATGATAAACAATCTGGTTCGGAAAGAAATGGACTTTTTAAGTCTAATTTTTTTCAGTGTAACAGCGTGATTTGAAGCGTATAGGCGCCACCAGTTTCCCGGTTTGGACAGATCAGTATAAAAGAAAACCCTAAATTTATACGTGAATTACAGAAATGCCATTGGAACCGACATACCCAAAATACCCCCGTCGTAGCTCTACCTATCTGAAAGAGCCACCGATTTGGCATATAATTCATTAGGAAAAAAATAAGAAAAATTAAAGCCTTGATTTTATTTTAAAATTGATGTATCATCAAAATAAATATCTGGATCGGGCACAAATCTCGAGGCAAAATCAAGCAGAAAAACTTCAAAAATTAAATCTGGAATCACATGAACTCCGATTTCAGCAAACTTATAGTCAAACTGGGCGTCTCGGAAATACGAACCCAACGACACCAAATTCGACTCAATCCGAACCCAAATGAGTACAAATCAAGGACCCGAAGCGCTGTTGGAAGCTTCGTACCACTGTTTGAGTTACCAAACGGTTTCCAAATATGACGAGCTTATAGGCGAGCTAGCCAATTGTAACCAACTTAAGTTCTAGTGTAATCATTTTCAACTAGGTCAAGTCCCGTGATTTTTTCCCTTTTTTTCACGGCTTTCCATGTAAAAATCTTGTGTTTTCTGTGTGTGAGCTGAATATCCGTGCAACACTTAGACGTAGTATTGCCGCGTATATTCTAGCCCCCAACAAAAATAAATATTATATTTATTTTTAAATATATAATAAATTTTATGACTCATTTCTCTCATAATTTTTTTAAGATATTTTAATATATTTTTGTAATATATATTTTTCTTTAATATAATTCAATTATTAGATATTTAAAATATTTTTTGCAATGATTATAATTATGAATGTAATTATGAAAATATAGAATATTTATCTCAAAACTCTTTAAAGTAAGCCTATGGACAGCCCGTTAACCCTCACTTATGACCCTTTCTAAGTGAATAAATTCGATTAAAAATACTAAAATAGCATATCCAAAAGAGAGAAAAAATATTTTTTTATTAAATTTGAATAGGTCGATTTTATCATAATCATTAATTTATTAAAAAAAAGGAAACTGTCTTATTTATGATTGAAAAAATATTATTAAATTTTAAAATAATAATTAAGTTTATATCATATTTTTTCTAACACTTATGTATCACTGAAGGGGAAGAAAATTTGAGTTTATTTGTTAGAAAATTGGAAAAATATGAAGACTATTTTATTTTGTTTTATTTTATTTTTAAGATCCCTAAAAGTTCATTTCATATAAAATTACTCGTGAAATACTTATTGAAGTCTCATATGAACAAATTTGGCTCAAATTGGTTCAAATTTAAATAGGTTTGAACAAAATTCAAATAAAATTTAAATAATATGCAATTAAGATTAAATATAACCAAATTCGAACCAAATTAGAACTTGGTTTGAACATAATTTGATTTTAGTTCATTTTTTTTTTCTTCACACGTGCGGGTTCCACCTCGATGCCTTCTGAATTAGCCTATTCTACACAGTGAGTCCTATGATTTGAACCTCTTCTCCTCTCACACCGTTGGTCGGGTCTTTTTTTTTTCATAGCAAACTCTCGTCACAAAATCTTTTTCCTTAATCCCTTATATGTCAATTTCATCCCCCCCTGATCGGAGTTGAGCTACGTTCGGTCACCAATAACATGTCGCCACGTGCTCTTTGTCACGACCCGACCCGACCGGGAAGGATCCCGCCCGCACCGGGCCGCGACCAGCTTAACGAACAAACAGACCAGGATCTGGCTTTGGAATTTGCTTCGGAACTGATTCTTCCAAATATTTCAACTCAAAAACAGACAAACACAGAGCTACTATAAAACATCAAATACAGCGGAACAGATCATCTATATTTTTTTTTTCTTCCTCAAAAGAATCATGTATAAATACAGCTCATGGCTTTCAGACAGAAAGAAAAGCAGAAC